ATGGCTGCCAGGATGCGGGGTGATTACTCGCCTATTACGCGAGCGTTACGTTACCGCTGAGGGGTGGGAGGGGAGCGCTGACTCACCCGCCGCGTCACTGCTGGTGGGGGGGGGGGCTCGGCTTTGCGCAACATGTCACAATATATTAACGATAATTTTGTTTACTAGCCTGTCACTGAACATTTCTTCAGTTTATCCCCACCAACAACTACAACAAATATACAACACAAAAAATTAAGCATCAGAAAGCTGACATGTATTACAATTAAAAGTATCAGACTGTTCCTACAAATTAGTCAAAAGCAGACAGGTTCCTTTAGCACACCAGCTCAGTCCACTTGCCAGTTGACATACAGAAAATTCATGAAAACATACATCACAAACTTCCATGCATAATTGTAAAATCTTATTTAACCCCAAAACCTTCCACTCTATCAAATCCATTCCTGCACCAAAACATCAGCACAGGAACTAAAGGAACTAATTTATAGATATCCCACCGTCATTGCCACCAACAGTCGTGATGAGAGCATAACAATAACAACTGGCAATGATCCCAAAGTTAAGTGTGCACCTAGAGCAAAGACAAATTATATTCCTGGTGAAATAAGGCACCAAATGCACCCAGAAAATGCATAATTCAGTACAGAATCTTTTTGGCTTTCTCATAATCATTGCAAAAAAAAAACATTATCTAAAGTAAAAAAGTATGTAAAGCTATCCCTGTACCAGGCCATGAAGGCATATAGGGTTGTGAGACGTTGAGGGTCCCACACTATCTAGACAATTGGCTCAAAGACGGCGGTAAGGTTGTCAGCCTGATGCACCAGCCACGCTTTACTCCCGAGGAAAATGAATTAATTAATTCCTGGTACTCATTTCTGTTAGAGGCTGAGCGAACCCCAGGGCCATAGTGTGGCTGGAAGGATTAGGCCAATTGAGAAAAATCCAATGATCTCATCGGCACTTGAAACTGTGACCTTCTGGCTTTTAGCATAGCCCCTCAACCAACTACATTACCGGAAATATAGCTATGCTGTATCCTGCTTCCTATCACAGAACTGATACAGAATACGGAAAGATAAGCAAATTATTACCCCACAATCTTACCAATATACACAGTAACCATGGCTGTTAAAGCTATGTAAAATTATTATAGTAGAACTTCTGTAGCAATATGAATCCTCATTTACAATCTTTTCTTTAATTACAGGAGTAAAATTTTAAATGGTATCCCTTCTTTAAACTTTTAGCTACTCTATATTGTGATATCGCAAAGGGAAGCAACCACATCCCAGCGAAAGGACAGGTACTTCTGCTTATTACATTCAGACATATACCTCCACATCTTGATGTAAGTATAAATACTAGTAAAAAACGCATGGGCCACGCCACAGCTCAAGCGATTAGTCACTGGCTTCCCACCGCGGCGGCCTGGGTTCGAGCCCAGGTCTGGTCAAGTGGGATTTGTGGTGGACAAAGTGGCGCTGGGGAGGATTTTCTCCAAGTTCTTCTGTTTCCCCTGCCAATGATCATTCCACAAAAGTCTCCATCATCATAATCACCTGGGGCAACCTACAATAGGCCAATCAGTGGCCGCCGTGCAGAGTGTACCCAGTTGGACACCACTGATCAAGCAGAGGATTCCNAAAAAGATACACTCAGGTCAGGACACACAGACTGCAGGTGTTGGTATATATAAATGGTACACAGAAACCTTGAATTCAGAGAGCTATGATATTTTAGGGAAGAAGGGAAAACTGCATAATGAAGACATCCATGTTGAAACTCTTCAGGCAGTATAGTTAGGATGGTTCATGAGGCTGTGGAAGGTCAAATAGGCATGGAAAAAACTTTTAGTGTCCTATTGACATTTTAATGATTTTAACAACATTGAAAAGTATTAAAATACATTTTAGTGTGAAACATATTCTTGATGTGTTATACTGTTGCATTACTGACGGATACTTTGATAATAAGGATAATGCCTCAATGTAACAGGATGCTAAAATACAATAATACCCTAGTAAGTGCAAATACTTCATGGTACGACTCATTTTGCATCAATATACATTTCCAATGAACAGTGTTAAAATTTGAAACTGAAGGGTATATCCTTTTGGGATGTGATGCTATGCAAACAGGTATCAAATTGCATGATATCATATCCCAGAAGGCTGTAACCATAATACTCACTGGTGTGAGAAACTCACACCTCATGAAGTGTTAAAACTTTACTTTTTACATTAAACTGTACCACTTACCTGAAAGTCTCTATCTTTTTCTTCCCAGTCAGTAACATTAGCTGAACGAGAGGTCTCAGGACCCTTGTCTGCAGCATCAGAATGTGAGACGCATTCCATACCAAGCTCTGTTTTATGAAAGAGTGACATACATACATCCTATCATATTCCATTATAAAATATTATATACCTGTTCTCTAGGATAAACTTCCAAAATGACAAAGAAAGAATAAAATCATTTAATGCCTTAAAAGCGGGCATCACATTTCCTCACAGACACAGTAAAAAACTAGTTGCTGTGGGCTCTTTCAATGTCTGAAAAATGAATGGGGTCATCTAAATCAGTAACACATCAAATTACCGTCCTGTGGGATTTGATATCATGTATTCTGCTGAATTGCTGTGGATAGTCTGGAGGAACCTGCTGCTCCACCTTCATGGTATCTGAAAGCAAGTAGTGCAGATAGAGTGGGAGGGAAGACTGGGTCCAGTCTGCATCCTCCCTTTCGTGACATTGGTACTACTCTGTCAGATGCTCAACTTTCTTTCCTTCCCCAAAGACTGAGCAGCAGGGTCCTCAAAAACGTTGGTAGCAAGCCACCAGACTACATGATGTCACATTCCAGGAGACAGTAATGTTCACAGTTCCCACTGCAAGAACCTCAAATCACAGTTAAATTAACATCAAACTGTGGGCTGCACCATAGCTCAAGCGGTTAGTCACTGGCTTCCCACCACGGCGGCCCAGGTTTGATCCCAGGTATGGTCAAATGGGATTTGTGGTGGACAAAGTGGCACTGGGGCAGGTTTTCTCCAAGTACTTCAGTTTCCCCTGCCAATCTTCATTCCACCTATCATCTGGGGCTGGTACAATATGCCAGATGTGGCGGCCGCAGTACAAGGGACTTAGTCCCATCGCACTAATAATAATAAAAAAAAGAAAACATCAAACTGACATCAATATAAACAGAAAATAACTTCAAACCAGGCATGCACACAGCTTGGCTATAATGATTTTATATCAGTAAAGCATCTGGAAGCTTCCCACTGCTAAATAACCATTTTCAGGTATTTTATTTCATGTTTATATTCTTCTAACATCTTGACTCACCTTCTGACAAGAACTGCATGATGCCAACAGTGCCTCGCATGGCGATCTCTTCAGGCGGATATTCAAACCTCCGAGAATCCAAAGCAAGATCCTTGAGGCCTGTTAGGCGAGCCAGTGAAGCTGGCAACACTTTCAGCTGCTTGTTGTCACGAAGATCTAAGTGCTGCAGACATTTCAAATTCCCTATAGAGTCAGGTAAAGCTTTCAGATGATTGGATGAAGTGTTCAATATATGTAGTTTCTCCAGCTGTCCTACCGAGTCCGGCAGTAGCTTCAATTGGTTTGAACTAATATTTAACACCTGCAAGGTTAATAACAAGTTAGCCATATGCAAAAGAACATGAAAAGAAAGTTCCACATATTTCCCAGATGTTTTCTTTACAGTTCTGAATATCTAACTGTCCATCATTATTCTTTCTTTGACTGTTGGTATTATTGTACATACTTATAAAGGATAATATAACTGAATGTGGTAATCAACAAGATATATATTGTAACTGAATTTTAATTTCATTAATACTTAGTACTTAATACCATTTTTGTACTAAAGATGACTTACACTCAGTTTTGATGCAACTATTCTAAGAATTTGTAGCAAGAATGTTTAGATAAGGACTACTGCAACTCAAGACAATCCAATGATAGCTGACAGTTACTCCTCTCCCAGCCAAACTAAATAAACTTCCGGAACATTCGCAATCTGTAGAACGGTGTGGAAGGTTCAAGAAAGATCTGGATGTAGAAGGCTCTGGAAGTATTATGTCATTCGAGGGTATATAAAGGCTGATTTCAGATGGCGCTGGGTCTTGCTGGCTAGTTGTGAATGGTAGAGTCGCGAAGGTCGTAATACAAGAAATATTAGAAAAATTAGCTGTAGAGGAATGCTGAGTGGTGCTGAGTTCCTTAGCTTCTGTGTTTGAAAGCTCCTGTCCTTCTGGCTGGCAACTGTCTCACAACTCCTCACGGCCACAACTCCTTGACTACTCACTGCTTCCTTGCGATGAATGGCCACCACTGGCTAGAACTCACTTCTCACTCATCTATCTCATCTGTCCTACCCATGGTCTGAATCAGAGTTACTTTACAACTGGTGGTGTACTGCCAATCACACTGTCATGGCACCAAGCCTCTGAAGACTCTCAGCCAGATTTTTTTTTCAACAGAACACCTGTGGTAATAGTCCTTATGTAACATCCTCTCTGACAAGAAGATGGGTTTGTTTGTTTTGTATATGCTTGGCCTTACAGCGTGTTATTCAAATTCTTCATTTTGCATTATAAACATCTATATACAACCTCTTGTGGTCTGAGATGAGTCTTCGAAAGTAGAGTCACATCTATATGTATGTCTTGCAGCTGTTTACTGAGCTCATAGAGCCATCTGCATCAAATGCTATATGAACTCAAGCAGCCACTTTGTTGCATTAAGTAGCTCTGCCCTACAGACTGAGTTTGGTTCTCCTTATATAGGCTCAGCTTGGAATGCACAGAAACCACCACCTACAAAAGTTCCTCCATTGCTGTGTGCATAAATGTGTCTGCGGTCGTGTGAGGGTTACTGAATGTTGCATACCAACTGACGCTTAACAGCGTCACTGCATGTTTATTGTGCCATATCCTAGCAACGGATCCTTCTTATCATTCTAGAATTCTGGCTTTCAGCCCTCATGTCACAACATATTGCCAGGTTACTGCTGAAAAGGCCAAAACATCTTTTAATGTATTGTGACATGTTGACATGTCACAGTATAATATGATGTAATTACAGACGTAAATTGTGGTGACTGAAATAATAAACAAATTCCAAATATGTGAAGTAAAGATAGTCATCTTAAAACCTGTATGTTTATCTCAGACCTTTTCTTGTTTGTGTCAAAATCTGGTACCCAGCAACAGCAAACCATTTACAGCAAACTTCAGCGATTTTCATAAATATATCTGAAGTGTAATCAACAAAATTTTTATCTGTACCTGTACATACCCTGAGATTCCACAGAAGTCTAATTTCATCTGGCAAATATACAAAAGAGTTTGAATGTAAATCTAATATCTGTAGCATTGATAAATCTTGTAAGGTTCCACCTCCTGCTAAGGATGTTAACTGATTCTCCTGTAAATAAAAGGGTACTGCATTGTTGTAATTCATACTGGAATTCTAACCTAATAGAATAGAACAGAACAAAATTTATTTACATTCCACAGATCCTTCATAGGCCTACGTCCAGGATGCAGAGCATGGCATAACAAAAACACAATACTTGTTTCAAATATGAATATAAATACAAAGTTGTAACAGCTACTTACTCATTTACAGACAGTTGTTATAATACAGAATTACACCAAAATAATTATTACATACAATTCTAATTAAGGATTTTTGTTTAAGGTAAATTCTTCTATAGAGTAGCAGTGAGATGGAAGCTACTTTTTAATTAGTTCCTAAAGGGTTCTGATGATAGTGTATAACACTCAAAATTACTAGGTTTTCGGACTCTGTCCATTGCCTGGTATTCTAAAAACCAGAGAACACAAAGTTTTAAAAAGAGATCCAGTTTCCAAAATGTTGTGTTCCCTTGTTTTTAGAATAAAGGACAATGGACAAAGTCCATAAACCAAATAATTCTGAGTGCTCCTTTAATGCTGGCTTAAGCAGCTTTAAATCATTAAAAAAATCTGATTATAGGAGGATGATTATTGAACGACTTCATTCCAATATAATAAACTCCTCTCTGATTTTTAGTGAGGTTACTGGTTGGCACATGGAGGTTTATCTGCAGCCTGTCCTTGTGCTGTGTATGAGTGAAGTCTTCTGCAACTGTTCCATGATGACCACAGCTCTCCTTTCAACATCTGCCATTATTAACCCTTTGACGTTGTCATTTAAATTCCGCGGCCGCGGCTCCTGCGGTAATATATTCAGCCGGCCATTTAAATTTTGCTCGAAAATTATTTATTCATCATTGTTCTTAAATTCTATGAGATAGGAACATGAAACTTTCACTAAAATGATCTTAAAT